TCTTGTGCTCATTGCAAAGTTTCACTACTTGGTTGCCCTTTTCTTCCCAAGCAAGGACAGATTTTTTGTTCTAAATCATGCAGTTTGGGAGAGGATGTTCATGCTTCAGATTCTTCTGATTCTGCTTTCCAGTATGCTCGCTCGAGAGACTCCAGAAGAAGCATTCATATGGGAAAAAGCAGTCAATCAGCAGATCAGTGCAGGCAATCTCTCCTGTTGTCTCCAGCAATGAATTACAAATTCCCTGGTCTTTCAAGCACAGAGGATGATACTCTTTCACAGAAACTGGATGACTTAAGTCTTTCAAGGCAAGAAGTAAATTTTTTTGACAAAGAACTCTGGAAAGTAAGGGGAGATGAAATGCCAGAAGAATGGGCTGAGCATGAAGATTATATGACTCAGCTGCTCCTCAAATTTGTTGATAAAAGTCTATTTCAACAGTCAGTGGAAGCCAATCCTAGATCAGATGATCAGTGGATTTGTGAAAAAGTGGTTAAAGGAAGATCAGAATTGAAGAAAAATAATCAAAGCCTAGCATGTAAGAAATACCAGGCAAATATGTATTGGGCACAATCCCAAGATGGCCTGGGTGATTCTGCATATGGTAGCCACCCAGGACTTGCTAGTAGTAGGAAAATCCAAGAATTAGACATGGAACATGACACAAGATACAAACATAACCAAAAGCAAAGGTATAATGATTCATTGGAATGTTCGTCAAATCTGAAACAAGAGCAGTGTGTTCGAGACTCAATGGATTTCCTTGCTTTATCTAACATCACAGGTAAAGCAGCTAAAAACTATGTTCAGGGCCTCAAGTATTTTATAGTGGAATTTAAGTGCTTATGAATTTATCTTTTGCTTATTTATCACCTTGTACAAGTTCCTGATTTAAGATCATTGGTGACCTTCAAAGTTACAATAGCAGTAAAAAAAAGTAATTTACACCCAGTTCTTGCATTTAACAACCATTGCAGTGTCCTGGCATTCATGTGATTAAAATTTGAGCACTTGGCAACCAGCATATATTTACTATGGTTGCAGCATCCTGGGGTCATGTGATGATTTGCAGCCTTCTCAGGGGCTTATGACAAAGTCAATGGAGGAAATCGAATTATTTGCATCAATTAATGACGTGGTTGTCCCAATTGTGGTTGTCAATAAGAACTACCTGTGAAAGAGTCATTTGAGATGGGCAGTATAGAAATTTGATAATTACAAAAATTAACAAAACCATGTTCTCCAACAGGTGTCAGAGTAAGATGGCAATGGAATAGAAGCTTCCCTCTTGAATCCCTTATGTGTGATTAGATCAATGAACATTTTTAGCTGGACACTTTATGGATATAATTGCTTTGAATTGGAAGTCAGATGGTCAGAATCCAAGAGTAACATTTTGTGCAGTTATCTGGAATATTTTTTTTAACCTATACCAGGGGTATCAAACTTGATTTCATTGAGGGCTGCATCAGGGTTTTGTTTGACCTCGAGGGGCTGGGGTGGAGGTGGGCATGGCCAGCTTGGCATTACTCATGTCGGGGCGCCTGAGTGCTCTGCCAGTGAAAACGGGCTCCCGAGCTCCTTTTTTGGCTGCGACGGCCTCCTGCAATCCTCTGCCAGTGAAAGCAGAGCTCAGGAGGGCCGCCTCCATTTTTACTGACAGAGGCACAGTGGGCCAGTCCTTCACTGTTTCCAGGGTGGCCCCATGGGCCGGATCTAAGCACCCCATGGGCCACATCTGGCCCCCAGGCCTTGAGTTTGACACCCCTGACCTATACTGTCAAGAAAGTGGACAGCGTCCTTTGTTATATCAGTTCTGCTACTTGGAGTCTCTTGGTCTTCATTGTTGGTTCAGGCTGTCAGGGAGGGGATAAGCAACTGAATCCTAGTGATAGTCAATACCCGGTAGTGGAAGGGAAATCATGCCTATGTTGAAAGAGGTGCTGTTTCCTTAAGAGACCTGCTTTGAAATCAGCAATTTCAAATATCACTAATAATCAAGTTATTTCAAAATTAACTTAAATTACATTTTTAGAATTTAACTGGATGAAATAAATTTTCCAACCAAAATTATTTTTTTCTTTTCATTCTTAGGTGCTTCAATTGATGAAATCAAACCAAGACCTTCTCTGTACTCCTTTGAAACCTACCAGGAGCTAGAGGGGGATGATTGTGAGAAAATGAGCAACATGGGAACTTTGAATTCATCAATGCTTCATAGAAGCACTGAGTCTTTGAAAAGTGTAAATTCTGAATTATGTCAGGCTGAGACGCTGCCAGAAGAAAAGTCAATGGATGTGCCAGTATTGAGAAAATCCAAATCACGGACTAGGCCTCAGCAAGTAAAATTTTCAGATGATGTCATTGATAATGGAAACTATGATAATCTTGATATTCATCAACCTCCTATGAGTGAAAGGACTCACAGACATGTTTATCAGTTTGAAGTCCATGGAAAGAAACATCATCGAAGGAGCAGAAAGTCTCGATCTGAGAATGCACTTCATCTGGTTGCAGAAAGAAAACCTTTTCCAAAAGAAAAGCTTAATTTTTATTCCCCCCAGTATTATGATGCATTTATTCAGAATAAAAATCCTCAGGCAGTTCGGGCATATACTCCCACTTTTTTCAGCCAATATAATCATATTGCACCTGACTATGCAATGGGGAAACCAAGAGATCAGTGTTTTGGATTTTTGGGTGAGGACGAAGAAGATTGGTGCTCATCTTCATCATCTTCAGATTCTGAAGAGGAAGGCTATTTCTTAGGACAACCCATTCCAAAGCCAAGATCTGTGAGATATCACTGCTATGAAGATTTTGTTTCTAGTCCAAGTGCTGAACTTCCTACTACCCAATTTAGACAGATAACAAAATCTGAAAAAAGGAAAGTGCACAAAGGCAAAAACTGTATAATTTCCTAAAATGTACTGCCTATAAACTTGGTGCCTACACTGTGTTTCAAATCTTTTGTATCTAAAGAATGTCAGCAAAGTCTGTAACATGGAAAAAATTTGTTTGTGTTCTTTGTCAAGGCTTTGAAAGCAGTTCAAGACACTACATCAAAAAAATAAAAATATGATATTGATTAGCTTGTTTAGAACTATTCTGGTTTGCATAGAACTTCAGATTCAGGGAAAATAAACATTAGAAATTGTCCCTCTGATTATATGAAGAGTATATGAATGCCAGGCTCGGGACAGTCTTCCTTGTATACATATCCATAAGGATATAATACTAAATCAGAGATGAGTCTGTACTTTGGATTTTATTGGATTCTTATTCCCATCAACTCTGTTAACATGGCTATAGGGATGATGGAAACTTTCCACACAGAGATGGGCAGTATGAAGAATTAGGATTTTATAGAGATCCTGGCCTAATTTCAGAAGTTTGTTTTGAAGGGACAAATGCAATATTTTATAAAAGGAATACATTTTCCAAAGGATCAATTCAAGCATCTGGCAAAAACAAGCTGTCCAACTGAATGTGTCTCTTCAAAAAGAAAAATGGTAGTCTTATTCATGGCATGAAACTTCAGAGAGGCTATTACTCTCTGAGGGAATATGACCATAGACTGTAACAATTGCGCATTTAATGTTATGTGCAAATAATTTGATTTTTGCATTTTCTTTATCTTATATATTTAATGTAACCTAACCATTTTGATACCAAGCAACAATTATCTGGTTCTGTGCTGGACATTAAATTGCTTATCAAATTGACACTTTTATCTTCATGGGAGTGAATCTCAGGCAAATTTTGCTTTATATAATCTTAATCTACAGTTTGTAAAAACTAAAGTGATGTGAGCTAATAATCCCTGTTTTCAAAATTAATAAGATGTTACTGAATTTGCTTAAAGTAAAAAAAAATTATGAAAACATGAGAATCCTTGATATTTGAAACAGTATCTCAAGTTTCAAATGTAATATGAGCAGCAATTAAGATTTAACAGATTGATAATGTATTTTACAGTTTCCTGTATTCATAACTTAACAGTGCAATTAATGTATATATTGTAAAATTAAGATTTATCTGACTATTTTTATATTCCTGAATTGCAAGGCATTTGTTTAAAATAGACAAATAATTTTGTTAAGAACATCATTGTTTAACATCAGTTTGGTTTAGGCAGGAGTTTGTTAAATATTCATACATTTATAGTGAAATGTTTAATTTTTTATAGTAAAGCTCTGTTTGCATGGTGGAGCTATGTAAATAATGTTTCAGCGATGGTTCACAATATTAAAGAATTATTTATGGGTCAATAAACTTTAAATTGTGTAAATTAAACAAGTAAAACTGGCATGTATAAATTGAACTAAACATACTTTAAGCTAAATTTCAATGCTAGGTTCTAAACCTAAAATAGATAACATTGCTTTGTTAATTGTGATTTGTTCAGGAGACATTGTTATATCCTGCTCGGTTAAGTAGCAATACATAAAAGCTGATGAGCATTCTGAAGAGTGAATTAATCTCACCTTACCTTGATAGATTATTAAATCGCCCAATATAATTCTTCTAACAACCAAAAAAGTAAATGTTTTTACAATCAGCCGAATGTTATTTCTAAGATCAACTAAATAAAATTATACCATGCTTTCTACTAAGAATGGTTAATGGTCCACTGAATTCAAATCTACATTTGTAGCTTCTTTGCTTAGTGTGATATGGATTTACTTAAGATACATTTATTTAATGTATCTTAAGTAGTCTCAGGTTCCATCAGCATGCAAGTGATATAATTTTCTACTGGCTTTTGCTGAATTTTATTTACTAGTCAGTGAGATCAATTCTTTAATTCAGTTTCTAATATCTGCCTTTTCTGTAATTGTAATTTTTCACAATTTATAAATTTGGTTTATTTTCATATTTTTCTCAATATCTGTGTATAGGTTAGAACATTGAAATGTAATACAGTACGTTCTAGCAGCTTTCACAGTCCCTTTCACTGGTCATAGTAGCTGAGGCAAACTGAGGGACAGAATGAAGTGTTCAGAAGCATATCTGTATGTTTATTCATTTTTATGGGTTTAAACAACAAACATAAACCACCATGTTTCACTCCATTCCAATGAATACAAGAAGCATTGCTTCCAAATCATCTATCTGTTTAAACAGAGAAAACTGTTACTGTTTGTTACTTTAGGATTAAATAATCTTACACCTAACCATGGGTAAACAACACTTGAATTTACAGGACCAAAATTGTTCTGTATATTACATGTGGAAAGTACACTTGAACAGTGACAACTGTAATAAATAATCCTGTTGCCCATGAGGCAGTTAATCGTTTTATCAAGTATGATATGTGAATGTAACCAACCTTGTTGCAATTCTGGGAAGCTTACTTCTACCCCACAATTATGGGAAGTATCTTGTCTGAATTACTGTACCATTTGTGAAATGATGAATTACACACTTCTCATACTTTGAAAACACTTGTGCTGCCTTCACCAGACCCATTTCTAAAAATAATATCCCATAGTATAGTGGAAATTACAGAAACTGCAGAAGAGAATAAGAATATATATTTTCCATTACTATTAAAGACAAATATTGTTTATACAACTGTACAAAGCTTTCAAAAAAATGCAAATTTTGATATTAACTCTGAAGGAGTTTAATTACTATTTAAACTAGGCTATTTGAACTTACAAAACCACTAAGCTTAAACAAATAGCTTAATGGAACTGTCCTAACAATGGTTTCCAATCAAAGTTTATATAACTACTCTAATTAAGGGCAACACATATTTAAAATTTATATAAATACAGATGCACATTTATTTTATATACATTCATCAATATCAATAAAATTACAAAATGGTCTGTCATACTCAGCAACCTATTTCAATAATTGGAGCAGCTTTTTGTTAAGGATTTTCAAAATATGGCTGACATGAACTGAACTTTATATATTCAATATATTTTCCAAACGGAATCAACTAAGTAAATGATATTGTTGTTTTGCAATTAATTCAAATTTATGAAGAGATCAAATGCAAAGTGAACAAATTTAGAAGATTAGCATCCATGAATCAGGTAGCCTTTATATATATGAGCAACCCATAATTCATCTTACGTTTCTTCAAATTCTTGACTCGTAGAATCATATTCTGCAATGAAGTGTTTAAGTTCTTCAACACATCGCTCACCAATCTCATGCAAATTTTGTCTCAAAGAAAACTGAATAGATTTTTCTAATGCAGGGTCTTTTTCAATCAGCATCTTCACCACAGCACCAAAAGTTTCACAATCCTGTCGGTATACCTAAAAAATCAGTTTTAGAAATGCATGCAATGAAGTACATTATAGTATCTATCCCAAACTGAACTAAAGCTAGATTTATAGATCTTATCAAAAATGGTATAAGTTTATATTTCTATTTTCTGGAATGAAGAAAAATGTATTTTTGTGCAGGAGATGGAGTGGTAGAACCTGGGGATGGAAATAAAAGACGGAACATCCTAGATTCCCCACATAGCAACAAGCAAACTAAGTGCAACTCTCCCTTGAATTCTATTGACAACTATTAGCTGAGAAGATTCCTGTTCATAGGCTGTTTAGTAATAAACCATTTTAATTAGATCTTCACTTGTGGACCTGGTTTTTGTGTCTCTCATTATGCATGTTTTCTAAGATTTCAAACAAGTGTTAATATATTTAAAATTTAATAGCTGGAGTAGTGAAGGGTTGGACAATGAGTAAGAACACACTTACAGCTAATTGGTTAAAGAGAGCTGGCCACTGCATGAGGGAATTTCAGTTGTAATTAGTTGCTGTGAGAGTAAAGGAGGAGTTTTGTTTTTTCTCGCCTTTTGCCCTATATGCTCTGTGATTTACCTGATGTTCCTGCTGTGTTGATTTACCTAACGATGCTGCTGTTTGCCTCTCTTTTTTACTGTAAATATATTTATTTACCATATTTTTCGCACTATAAGATGCACTGGACCATAAGACGCACATTAGCTTTAGAGGAGGAAAAAAGAAAAAAAAATCCCTGCCTCTGCCTCCCAGCATCCATCTGGTATTCATCTGGCTAGCGTCCTAACAGCAAACAGCCTGTCTACTCAGTGTCAGCTGCCTCCGTCGGAGAAAGCTGGAGCTTTTGCTGCCGAGCAGCTGATTGGCGGTTGGATTGGCCTCCCGGAATACCGCCGATCAGCTGTTCTAGGCGGCGGGGATCACCACCACTGATCGCCACCGCCGCCAATCACCGCTGCCTATTTCCACCACCTCTGTTGTGGTGGCGATTGGCAGTGGTGGCGAACCGCAGCGATCCCTGCCACCTAGAACAGCTGATGGGCAGTATTCCAGGAGACTGATCCAACCATCGATCAGCTGCTCGGCAGCAAAGGCTTCAGTGTTCCCCGGCGGGGCAAACAGCAGCAGTGGTGACAGGTGGCGGCAAACGCTGCCGCACCAACCCCTTCCCCCGCCGCAATATTCACCCTATAAGACACAGACATTTCCATCCACTTTTTTACTGGGGGGGAGGGGAGAGTGCGTCTTATAGTGTGAAAAATACAGTATATAAAATCACAAATTCTTGTCAGCATCTCTGACTCCATTTGGACACCGGCTATGCAATTCCCTGACAAGAAATTGAAAAATTCTTCTATTTACTAATATTAAACATAAAGCAGTTGATCTCAATTATCAAAGTGCCAAGTAAGCATGCATAGGATTCTGATTCATAATGTAGTGGCATGTATTGTGTTGGGTTTATCCATGTTAGCTCCTCTGTTAGGTGAGGTGCACTGGCTTGCAGTTTCTTTTGGGATGCAAAATGCTGGTCATCATATACAGTCTTGAATGTCACAGAGCCAGGTTATTTCCAGAATGTCACAGAGCCAAGTTATTTACTGCCTTTCCTAAGGACATCTACCCATTCTAACAGATCATATACGGTGAACATGCTATGAATCCTTTCCTTTAACCATTACCATCTTATGGGAGTTAAGCAGCATGCCTGTCAGGTCCCACAGATTCCTATAGGGACGCTGTCATTCTGGTGGGAGGGTGAAGGCTTAGAGGGATCTCTGTATGGGGTTTCTGTTTCTATTTCTTGCTTTGCTTTGCTGTAACTTTCAGGACCTTGGGAGTGGAAAAGGAATGTGCCTCGAGTAGCTGCCTTATCTCTTCTCTGGAGATAAGGCAGTTTCCTTGGAGACCAGCGTTTATCACCTTCTCGGTCTGAGTTTCCCATAACATCTTCACACACCAGAATTGGCTTGATGATGTATTGGACTTTGGGAGGGGCTCTGTCTGCAATGGTGTAATATAACGTTTCAAACGGGAAAAGTTACTTCCTGCCTACATCTCTTGCTGTCACAATCTTCCAATAAAAGTTTCCTTTTGAAATGGCTTTCTTTTCAAGAGTTCTGCTTTCTTGAGAAGACTGGTGAGGCAGGACCTTATAGTGCCTTTTCCATGGCCATCCCTGCTTTGCAGAACACTCTTCCCCCTGAAATTTGGCAGGCCTCTACCCTCCTAGCCTTCTGAATTGCACTGAAGACCTGGTTTTCCCCCCAAGTGCTGGGATAGGATGACGTGATTGCATGTTGGAAGCTAGACATAGTGCCAGGGGGTTTTGTTTGTTTTTCATGTTTATGGTTTTAAGAATTTTAATGCAGTTTTTATGTTATTTTAATTCTTGATTGAGGGCCACTCAGAGTTTGGTTGGAGATGGGTAGCTATATAAATATTTTAAATAAATATGTAAACTTTCTCAGAGATGCCAATTAATTCAGAATCCCAACATTCACCAAAATAATACAAAAGGGGACAATGGCACAGATGGGGAATCTATCTGATATACAAGAACATTTTTTGAAAGAGTTACATAGAATTCTTGTGTAAAATAGATCATGATCAAGAGTTATTATTTTTATTCCATTTTGAATGGGAGGAGAGATGAGTGAGGTTTGTAAATAATAGAAAGCAGATAGAGAAACCCATGTATAGGACCATTTATTAAAAATTCTAATTTTAAACCTGAAATAATAATACAGATAGTCCTTAATTTACAACAGTTCACTTAGTGACCATTCAAAGTCACAAAAGCACTGGAAAAAGTGATTTATGACCGTTTTTCACAATTACAACATTGCAGCATTCAACAAGGCAATGATCACTACAATGTTTCCTTTACAACACGGGTGTCAAACTCGCGGCATCATGTGACATATCGCGTCGTTTTTCCCTTCATGGAGCTGGGATGGGCGTGGCCTGCACGTGATGCATCCAGCTGACGGGCCGCAAGTTTGACACCCCTGCTCTACAATAAAAAGAAGCATTCATGAATAGACAGATATGCTGTATATTCTAAAACGTAATCTTGGCATTTAATTATTCTAATTCTACTTATGGAGCTGCATTTTGTAAAGTAACAAAATGGTATCCTGTTAGCCTTGGAAGCCATATTAGGCCAGAAGCTTCAATGCTGCCACCTCCTCGTGTGTGGGAAAGTAGTGGGGGGGGATTTAGGAGAGGGGAATTAGTAGACATAATAGCATTCTTCCTATCGGTCAAGGTCAGGGCATTCTAGCATCTGGAGGAGGAGTGGTCAGGGGCTGAGTCGAGGTGGAACGGATGTTGATTGGAGCATGTGACCGACTGGGGAGAAATGGGATGGTTTCGGGATTTGAATTACTGAAGGAAAGCCCAGGCTTTTCAGATTCGGGATTTCCCAGATGTGCCAGTTTGCCTATTCTAGTAAAGAGGAGTCTGGAAAACGCTTGCTTCCGCATCTTTACTTGGAGAGGGGTTTTTTTCTGGAACGCTGACATTATCCCGAATCTCGCCCAAACCTAACAGCACCCCATAAGGGGGCTGTCAGGGGTACTAAGCCCCAGCATCTACCTAAACCCTGGGTGATGCAAAGACTCAGTGAAGATGGAGGAGAAAGGAGAAATCAGAAGGAGGCTCGCCAGGGGCCTGAATGCTCAAGAAATTGCCAATCCCTTGCTTTCTCTTGCTGAAGAAATGGGACGAGCCATGGAGGCTGCTGAGGCGTCAAGATTCCTGGAAGAGTTGTCACTCCGACCCAGCTCCAGGAGAGGAAAAGAAGTTGCCCCGTGAGCCAGACTGGAGGATGGAAGCGGAGATTTTCGCCCCCCCTTCTCAATCCCTAGAGGTGAGTTGGAGGCTAGTGAAACCAACATTCACCGTCCCTGATCCAGAACATGGAGGGGGGATTAGTAGGATGCAGAGCCCCCCTTACCCACCCAGAGGCCAAACAAGAGGATTAGCACAGCATTCCAATCCTGCAGCAGTGGGGCATCAGGCTCAGCCGGCATACGAAATGCAAAACCCCCCTTTCGGGGCCCCTTGCCAGCCTGCCTTCTCGCTACCTCCTGCTGAGAATATACAGTCCGGATGGGGTTTCTGTCCCGGCCAGGGATGGATCCAGGGCCAGTGGTATCCCGCGCCGTCTGTTTCAAGCTTCCAGGGATCCCCCTGGCCCCCCTCCTATGGCTCAACGATCCTGGCACCACAGGGGGGGGCTAATCCAGCAGCTGGCTGGGCTGCCCTTCCCTCCAGCACAGCAAGCAGCTCAGCAGCCAGGCCCCCTCCCCCAACAGCCGATGCTGTTGCCCGCCCCCCCTCCAACCCATCTACCTTCACACTAACCTGTTGGAATGCAACAACCAGGGGCACCACAGGGGGGATTAATCCAACAGCTGGCTGGAATGCCCCCCCCCACTTCAGTGCAGCAAGCAGCTCAACAACCAGGCCCCCTCCCCCAACCACCCCGCTTCACAGCAACTTTTTATGGGACGCCAGCCAAGCTAGCTTATTTCCTCAGCAGGGTCTGAGCAATGTTGATCAGTATGGTGACCAATAAGAATCAGAACGGGACCTGGTGACAGCAATCTCAGATGGGATGAATGAAGTGGAGGCCTCTGAATGGATAGCCCAGCTGCACGATGAGGGCACTGTTGAACTGTACGATATTGATGGCTTTATCACACTGCTACGGTCCCGCTTCGACGACCCAGACTGCGTAAATGAAAATGAAGCCACGCTAAAAGTCATGAAGCAAGGTAATCGACCGATGAAAGAATTTGTATGGAACTTTAGGTAAGTCGCAGGGAATCTGGGAGATTGGCCTGACCGCATACTCCTGCACTACTGCAAGGAAGCCATCGACCCAGAAATCAGAAAAGCCTGTGGGATCCGGGGAGTGCCTGAGTGTCTCCACAAGTGGTATACCATGTCGGACTTCCGGGTGGCTCCGCGCGCACTGCAGACGCTCCTCCATGATC